AGCTCCTGAAGATCCTGTTTTGTAAATGCCTGGATGAACAAATGGTCCCCAGTGAATGGAAAGTGGCTTATGTGAGTCTTATCTTCAAGAAGGGCGATCGTCACTCCACGAACAGCTATAGACCGGTGAGCCTGACCAGCATAATATGTAAAGTACTTGAGAGTATTATCAGAGATGCCGCAATGGAACATCTAATACGAAACAACCTTGCAAAAGATTGCCAACACGGTTTTATGCCGGGGCGCTCTTGCTTAACACAACTGCTCAAGGTATTGGATATTTGGACTCATATTCTGGAACGGGGTGGTAATATCGACAATATTTACCTAGATTTTGCCAAGGCTTTCGACAGTGTACCCCACGAAAGGCTGAAAATCAAACTGGAAGGGTACGGAATTCGGGGAAATGTCCTAGCGTGGATAGAAGACTTTCTACATGACCGCAAGCAGTGTGTGGTGATTAATGGCACGAAATCGTCATCTGTACCCTGTCTGAAATTGGGGTACCACAGGGCAGTGTATTGGGCCCGATGTTGATTGTTTGTTTTCATAAATGACATGCCTGACGGTTGTACACTCCTCCATACAAATGTTTGCCGATGACGCCAAGTTATTTCGGAAATTAAGAACCAAGCGGACTGTGAAGAGCTGCAGAAAGGACCTCTGTGGGCTCCAGGAATAAGTCGAAGAAATGGCTACTGAGATTCAATGTCACGAAGTGTAAGAGGATGCTGGGGCGTACCAGCAGTAGAGGAGGCGTATCCTTATGTCCCAACAGGATGAAGAAACTGCACTAGTTGAGACTGTGTGTGAAGAAGGACCTTGGTGTGTATGTTGACCATGGGCTGAAGTTCTCGAGGCCATTGTGAGAAGAAGACAAATCCAGGCAAATAAATTGTGGGTCTTATAAGAGAGGTCGTTCCAGATATCTAGACGGTCCGTCCTCAACGATCTTCAGGGTGAAGTACTTCCCCATCTGGAGTACTGTCACCCATCTGGTCCCCCGAATATACCAGGGACTGTCAGTTGGTTGAAAATATTCAAGGAGGGCCACCAGACTGGTGCCTGCGCCTTCAGCACCTCAGCTACCCTGAGAGATTGGGCATACTGAACTTGCCTGGCTTGCTCTACAGACAGGCAAGGGGGACCTATTTGAGTGTAAAAGCATCTCAGAGACTCACCTGAGTTAGTGTCATACTTGGAGCTGCTCGCCCCACAAGGTCACACAGCTCAAGATTGGAAGAAGCTACCCAAGTCCAGAGTGAGGGCAAACTTTTCGGAGTGAGAGGGTTGTAAACTCTTGGAACAATCTACCAGAGAGTGTTGTGACGGCACCGAGTGTGAGCTCTTTCAAGACAAGACTTGACCAACACTGGAGCGGGTTCAGGTACATTCAGGAGCCGGTGCATGCCCAGTATTTGCCAACAGTGCGTGACAGAGACGTGACCGATCGCCCGGGCGGCTGGCGAGCCGAGCTTTTGGTGAAGAAGATAAATGAAAAGGATAAGTAATCAGAGACGTGACCGATCGCCCAAGCGGCTAACAAGCCGATCAGTGGTGAAGAGGATAAAAGTAAAAAGTATCTTTTAGATTAATTTGTGGGTAGTTTTCCAATAAATCCTTATATTTCATCCAGTCTGTTTTGCTCATCTGGAGCCTTGGTGGTATTTTTGTTTGGATTGGGCTGGTGGAAATTATGAATATTATCGGAATGTGGTCGCTTGGGGTGATGGGGCCTTGCTCTATGTGGTAGTTAAGGAATACCTTGTTGTTGCAGAAGATTTTGTCGGGTGTTGAAACGCCGTTTGGTCCCATCCAGGTGGTGAAGTACGGGCCCAGGTGAAGTCTGCCAGTGTTGATTATACGTTCCAATGCTGTGCCTATCTGGTTTTTGTTGCCGTTGCTAAAAATGCAGGGTGTTGGAGATAAATACTTTGTATAATTAATCTGAAGAGCTGACACAAGGACGTGGATGTCCTTCTGGGCAACAGGGGCACTGCAGATGGTGGTGGCGTGGAATCATATGCACTGGAAGACTCGTAAAGTATACGCTCATCATGGGTGACAACTTTGCAATGTATAACCTCACTGGTGAGACGAGAAGGCACCTCCACTCTCAGCACTGGTATACCACCTCTCAAATGACACGATAAGGCACCATGGACAGAGTGATGAGGTGAAACAAGGGGGGAGACCGACTGAGCAGTTGTACCAGTCAACGCAGCCTCACAAATAAAAAAACTGTAACGAGACACATTCCTAAGGCTTTGTTTGAAAATATTTATCTTCACTGACTAGTTACATAATTTTTTTAATAAAACACAATATCTGGTGTTGAAAATTCAAACCCTCCCCACAATTTTTAATTGGCTAAAAAAAAGAAAAACTTGCCCGATAAGTCTCCTATCTCAATAGTCAATAAGAATCCCTCCTCCCCCCCACCCCACCCCGCACATGCGCTGTAAACTCTAGAGGCGAAGGAGGTACGGAGCTACGCGTGAGGTGGTCAGCTACTTGGCCAAAGGTTAACAACACACGGCGACACTTGTGACTGACCAAATCTAATAACTTTACTTACTTTATCCTCTTCACCACTGATCGGCTTGTTAGCCTTGGCCGATCGGTCACTCGGTCACGTCTCTGTTTTACTTTTACTAATAATATTGAAAAATTAATATCTCGGTTATCCTTAATTTCCGGCGGAAATGTCATAGAAGAAAGGGGTCTTAGAATTGTCTAAACATTACGAAAAAAGCATATAAATAACAGCGAAAGAAAGACCGGTGCATGACTGAAATTTTACCAAAAAACTTAGAAATTGTACACTGGTAGTGTGCTGACCCAGAGGTGCTGACTATATAGAGTATATTCAAAGTGAGAAGTCCAATGGTAGAGACGTACCCTGTGAACAGTTTTGGGTCAATGTGGGAAAAATGTCACCAGGGATCTGAATATTGAGTCATATATAGTTAGATAGAGAAAAAATATATAAAAATTATTTCTTCTATAACCTTTCCGTCGGAAATGAGGCATAGTGAAGATATAACTTACCTGAAGTGAGGCTTTGCTTGTGTTTGTCTATTATTACAGTACCATGTACACTGTACAGCATTCTGCACGATGCTGACACTCGGGATTTACATTTTGGACACTTTACAGATGATCATCTGTAAAGTGACATGATTCAAGAACACCGTGAGTTCTAAAAAATATCAATGGCTGGTGCATCATTCTCCAAAACACGGTGAATAACCCTCCAGTCAGCCAACGTACAGCCTCCACACACAGTACCCATCTTCAAACTGAGCGGGAATCGAAAGATACCCTCATTGACGCTTGAGTATTACGTCACATAAATACGCTGATTCGCGCTCAAGGCTATGACGTAAAAAATACCACTGGTTGGCTATATAAAAAAAATCAGATTTTCTCGAAAACTATAAATTTCCGAAGGAAACGTTATAGAAGAAAAAAATTATTTTTCTCTATCTAACCATATATGACTCAATATTCAGATCCCTGGTGACATTTTTCCCACATTGACAACTTTTGTGAACTTAATGAGTATTAAAGAGAACTACAGTTCACAATTGCGTTTCTGTGACCTGGTGGAAATCTACCTGCCTGCCTGTTTTGTCTGTCCACTGATACCGATCGTCGGGAAATTATCGGAGACTGGCAGGACAGCTAGTGGTAATTAAACGAGACTCGTGATATATCTACTGCTTTTGAATATACGACCTGGCCGATGGTAACCAGCGGGGAAAGCTGGGTAAGCATCGAAAGGGTGCGTAACACAACTTAAAAAGAACACCAAACAAACATTTGGAAAAACCTTACATAACGTTTCCTAGCTTCTAAAAATGTTGAAAATCACTTTTGAGTTTATGGATCCCTCATCTGAACACCGAGAAGAACACGTACTAAAAAGCGAAAACATGAATAAGGTAAACTTTTTATTTATTTATTTTTATTTTTATTATTTATTGGGCACCCGGGTCCGACTAATTACCCAAATGTACCCAAATGTAGCCGCAATGAAGTCAAATAATGGTCCTACGTGAATAAATCGGGTTACCAATCACTTCTCGACTAGTATTTGAAGTCACGAAGTCACAAAAAATTGGTAAACTTAATTTAATCTGAGTTAATAGATCAAGTGCATGTGCCTAACCTAACCTAACACAACTCAGATTAAATTAAGTTTACCAACCTTGTTACTATGACACCAAATAATAATCAGAAGTGATTCACAGCTTTACGCTTCTACCGACCATCATTTAACTTTCTACAACTATTAGTATTCCCTCCCTCGGTACATGCACTCGATCTATTAACTCAGATTAAAGTAAGTTTTCCAATTGTTTGTGACTTTGTGACACCATATACTAGTCGAGAAGTGATTAGCAGTCCGATTTATTCATGTAGGACCATTATTTGACTTCATTGCGGCTACATTTGGGTAATTAGTCGGACCGCATGCCCTTGCCGTATGTCTCATGAGTTAAGGGAGCTTTTTATAGTCTCAGGATTTTTTAAAGGTTAAGAAACGTTAGGTCAGGTTTTCAAAAGTTTGTTTCGTGTTTGTTTGTTTTTACCCCACATTTTCCCTCTACTTCAAAGCCCTGGCTACTTTGAAAAAATAATATTGTTGGTAATTTTTCAATTAAAATACTCTAAAAATATACATTTCCGATGGAACCGCTATAAATATAATTTTAGTTTTTTTCCTTTCTCCCTATAAGACTCTATATAAGTAGGTGTTGGCAACTTTAAAATATTTAACAACATTAATTCTCAAGAGGATATTTTCTACATACAGTTATGAGTTAGTAACATGATTAGAGAGTCTTATATTGAAGGAATTGAAAGTGGTTGGGTTGGGACGGGTCGTGTTGGGTAATACTGTACGTCTTGAGAAATGGGAGTGAGTGGGAGAGGCCTGCCCTTGACTTCGCACCTGCCTGGAGCAGTTCTTGCTGACGGGACGTGAAGTCAGACCCTGACAGTCCTTGTTCCGTGTTGAGAGCACTTGCACCGCTGTGCTGCTGCTCCGGTCCGCTTACAGCTCCTTTCATCAGCACTGTGAATACGCATCTCTGTTCAACCACAGTAATACTGGTCTGTGTTGTAAAGATCATTATCATGCACTTTTGATTAAGCTAAGCACAGTCGCCGTTGTTCGTCCTGTAAATACAAGTGTTTCTGTTACTGTCTAGCCTAACACAAAGATCTCAGTTCCTGCTATCACCAAAACTGGCCAAGGAATTATTCTACATCAACACCGCAGTGGGTGAGGTGTGGTGCATTTCTCCTCACTCGCACACGACCACTGACACTCCCACCTCCGGGAGTCAGGGTCCTCCCTCAGCCCCCAGCTTGTGTGAGTAACTTTAATTGCAGGACAAATATTTTCTATATATAATATACTGTATTTGATAATACGGTTTTATTGTAATTCCAGGCAACATTATATCTGCACGATTAATACCCCCCCCCCAAAGAAAAAAAATTACTAGTGGTCACAAACAATTATTAGATGTTTATTAGACACTACAGGAAGATGGTTCGCGTTATTGCACGAGACTTGTGGTGGCTTCAAGACATTTAACTGTTAAACTCTTCATATAAAAACTTGTTCTTTCCTCCGGCCAGTATCTAGATAACGGAATAAGAATTTTCTTTTGTTGTGTGATGCCAGTCCGGAGTGTGTGTGTGTGTGTAGATATATATATATATATATATATATATATATATATATATATATATATATATATATATATTATATATATATATATATATATATATATATATATATATATATATATATATATATATATATATGCACACTTGCATAAATTGGCAAAACATTCACAGTAAATTAATTATTCAAGAACTTCCTCTTTTCTTTCTGCCCGACCTTGGATGGTAGATGTAGGTGGTGGTCCGGTGGAGCTTGTTGGCTCGTCAAGAAGCCGTCCCCCCTCCCCCCCATCCTAACTTGAATAAGTGGTGGCGCTGCATCTCCTCGGGTTGAGAAATATTGATAGATTGCGAAAAAGGAGGGGTTGTTGTTTTTACAAGACTAGCTTGTCTTCCCTTTCTTTTACTTTAGCTCCTGAGTTTTAAGGTGAAACAGCCGCTTGATGATAGTGGAAACACTGTACAGAATGTGTCATAAATTATATTATAATAAAGTAATCTTAAACCTGTCTGGCTCCTCGTGATATCACCTCTCACTACGTCACCGACACTTTCACCCTTTTCAACCTACCGGGGGTCAATACACAACACAACTGTACAGAGGATGTGAAATCATACACCGAGAGACAAACACTGATCTTACACCTACAACACGATTAGACCCCACACCACATTTTGTAAAATGATACACACATCTTAAAGTCTTAATTTATAAATTGATTCTCACATATTCATTCCCATATTTCGTTGAATGAGATATCTGATTCAGAATATTGAAAACATTTACAGCATAAGTAAGTCACCTCATAGTGGTAAAATTTAACATTGTCATCAACTCATCTGGGAGTATAGTAGTTATCTTTAAAATATCAGTCACCTAAATAATCATTAATCTTTAAGTTAAGAATCTACATTATCCAATATTAGCACAATGGTTCCCCATTATTTACGGAATAAGAACACATGAACAATTAGCTCACCACCCGCAGCCATCACCTCGGAAATGGCCGACAACATTACTACTGGAAACCGAATGACGTCACACGAAAGGTATCAATAAAAACTAGAGCTAAATCGATGATTTTTCTCCAGACAAGAGAAATTGTGATCTCACATATGGGTAGGCAGCATATGACCTAAGCAGTTGAGTCGCCAGGGATGTTAGTACAGTCTCACCCAAAAGTTCGTTAACTCTCCCAGCCAGATATTGCTGCACTGCCTTCTTCAGATGTCTCAGTACCAACCAGAACATGAAACCGATAAGAATGAATCGAAAGGTTCGAAGTAACAGACTCAAGTTCATCCATCTGAAGCAAGCAGTGCAGCAATAGCTGGCTGGTTGAATTAACGAACTTTTGGGTGAGACTGTACCCAGGGGTGCAGTTGTAGTGGATTTCTCCCCTACAAACGCTGTTTGTCGCTGAGTAGCCGACCCCACCAATTCCCCAGTGTATGCCTCGTGGTCTAGGTCAACCAGCGCCGCCATACATCACGGAGCGGGGGTCAACTACTAAGCCACGCCTACCCCCCGCTATTTAAGACCTGACCTCGTGGTGACCTGTCTCTTTCTACCTTCACCAACCAGCCAGCAACACCTCCTCCTCCTCCGCCTGCCTGGTGGTCCTCGCTCCCGCCGGCGAGCATGGCGACCCACAAGCTGGTCCTCCTCTGAGCATCCTCACCAACCAGCTCTCTCTACATCACGCTTGTAACCATGCTGCCTTCCCAGCACCAAGCTGCATTGTACATCCAATACAACATGTATATAGAGAGCACATTGTGAGTTTCCTTTCTCCATCCCATCCTGAGTGTGAACCAAATATCCTGAACCCCACACAGTGCTGCCGGAGCTCACCGGAGCGCCGCTCCGGCACCTCTTGTTTTGATCAATCAATATCGCCGACGCCTTGTTCCCTCCCAGGAACTCCCCAACAGGGGGTGGCCATGGCAGAAATGTCTCCAGGCCACTTTATCCTTGCACATCTCACTTGCTCTTTCAAACACTTCCTCCCCTTCCCGCTCTCTCTTCAACAAACTCTCTAACTCTTTTATCCCAGGTCTCAATTGGTTTAACCCTCCCAACATTCCCCTCTCTTGTTATCATAAAAATTTTTGGTCACCCTGTCTTCATGCACCCTCGGCTCATGTCCATACCACCTTAGTGTATTCCTCTTCATCCACTCCACCACACCTCACTTCACACATGAAGTTATAGTAAGCTCTATATGTTACTATAAATCAAGCAATCAACTTTATTTTGCATTAATAGTACATATTCAAAACCGAATATATCCGAATGCAATTAATCTCTCCTTCAGATCAGCTTACATTTTATTATTATTATTATTATTATTATATATATATATATATATATATATATATATATATATATATATATATATATATATATATATATATATATATATATATATATATATATATATATATATATATATACATATATACAGTATATATATATATATATATATATATATATATATATATATATATATATATATATATATATATATATATATATATATTGTGGGGGTTCGTGGTATTAATGTTGTCTAGCACTCAGGATAGATGGAAACTCTAAGGTGGTTTTCTTGTATAATATAAGTTATATGCTAGACAGTCTGGTGCTGGAGGTGCCGTGTGGTGAGGAGCTGCTCAGTAGAGACGTTCGGTGAGTAGCGTGTTGAAGGAGGTAGATGTGCAGGAGCTTCGTTAAAGAAGATGTTGCCTGTTGCTGGCCTCCTGGTTGAATGAATGCTGGACAGCGAGGAGCTTGCTGGAGTAGGTGTTGCGTGTTCAGGAAGATGGGCAGAATGAGAGCTGGTTGGTGAGGAAGCTCAGAGAAGGACAGCTGGTGGGTCGCCATGCTCGCTGGCAGGAGCGAGGACCGCCAGGCAGGCGGAGGAGAGGCGAGGGCCGCCAGGCAGCGGCGGAGGAGGAGGTGTTGCTTGTTCAAGAAGAGAGGCCAGAATGAAAAAGCTGGTTGGTGAGGAAGCTCAGAGAAGGACAGCTGGTGGGTCGCCATGCTCGTTGGCGGGAGCGAGGACCGCCAGGCAGGCGGAGGAGAGGGGAGGGCCGCCAGGCAGCGGCAGAGGAGGAGGTGTTGCGTGTTGTAGAAGTGAGGCCAGAATGAGAGCTCAATGGAGAGACAGAGCTTATATACCCAGCAGCCGTGAGTCATCTATGAGTCATGTTGGGAAAACCCGAGAAGTAACCGGTCTTTGGCTCGGTTGCTAGGATACGGCGGCGCATCTGGTGACGCCGCTCGTTTGGTTGCTAGGGAAGGCGGTAGCAGCTGGTGGCTGTGGCTACGCAGCTGTAGGCAGTTTTAGGGGAGACGTCCACTACAATATATATATATATATATATATATATATATATATATATATATATATATATATATATATATATATATATACATACATACATATATATATATATACATACATATATATATATATATATATATATATATATATATATATATATATATATATATATATATATATATATATATATATATATATATATATATATATATATATATATATATATATTTTATGCATCAATAGATACGGTTTAGGAAACGGAAATTATTTTGACAGCTCCAGCACCTTAAAAATTGGCACTGTAACAGTACCACAATCAATCTAATCTCACAAATGGGAATATCAGGCTACAAGTGTAACCATTCACCCTAGCACTGTACTCCCATTCCCCCTCAGCCAGCAACCTGGGTGCCTTTCACTGTACCTGACACATGAGTGATACCACCCCAAAAGTCATATAACTCAAGTAGTACATTATAATTTTTTACTTACACAAGACACCAGACAGATGCGTATCTTAATTTTTAGTTTTTGATGACTCGATCGTGCATACACTAGAAAACGCGCTTAAAAACATTAGTTGTTAAAGCAGTGAAAGATTATAACATCACACAAGTCACGCGACAATGCAGTATCGCCCTTAACCATGTACAAAAGAGGGCCACCTACAATGCCTCAATTACCCAGAGATTAGAACGCCTGCACTTGCCTAGCTTATACTACAGACGGGCAAGAGGTGACATTTAATAGAAGTCTATAAGCACACTAGAACTTCAAAAGACATTAGTCAGTCAAGAGTTCATACTTGGAACAAGCAGATGCCTGCTCCAGGAGAGGCCACAAATTTAGACAATTGGCAGGAGCAAACGTTTTTGAAGGTATGCGAACTCTTGAAATAACCTGTCAGTTTGCTGTGAAGAGTATGACCTCACTCAAGAGACATGACCAATAATGACGTAGGTCAAGATATATTCTGGTGCAATTACATGTCCGGTATTTGATAAGTGCGGAACGGAGGTACTACCGCCTGGGAAGATATTGTAAGCATAATGTGTTGTCTATGGTAGACCTTACTGCCACATGGCATCACGAAAATTGTGACCAAGTCCCAGGTTGCTGATCTGACTTTCTGCCTCATTTACACACAATTGCAGGGTCTCAATTGTTTCTCTTACTATTGACAACACAACATACATATATTGTTCCTCACTTTTGATTTTTTTTCATGTTGTTGTTGTTGTTGTTGTTGTTGTTGTTGTTGTTGTTGTTGTTGTTGTTGTTGTTGTTGTTGTTGTTGTTGTTGTTGTTGTTGTTGTTGTTGTTGTTGTTGCTG